AATTCTTAGTTGGGCTTTAAACTTTTAACAATGGAGCTCAACTACTTAGAGTCAGAGAATGCTTCTGATGGTCATAGAAGACGACCATGCATTTCCTCCAAATTCTGTCTTTCTCCAACTTTTAGGTGTACTTGTAGTCCATCAAAATCAGACATGCCTTTCAAAGTTGATATGTTTGTCTCCAAAATCAGCCACTTTTGTGCTATTTATTGACCATGATTCAATATTTTTTCTAGGATGTTGTTGCGGTATGTTTAGGAGTCAGAGAAGAGGTGTGGAAAGTTGCTGCGGTATGATTGTGGCCACAAATGGTAGGGAAAGTGTGTTGGATAGACACGTGTAAAGGTCTTTTGTGACCTGGAACCTGAAGACTTGTTGGGCATTGAAGTTAAGTGGAAAAGGGATAGGAAAAGTTGAGGGAATTTCAAAGTGTAAAAGTGAAATGTGAAGTGCCTAAAATAAGCAACTGTCAAAGTGAGAGGGTCGTAAGTGAAAGTAAGTGCAACAAAAAAGGTGCGAAGCTTGGCGGAGAACTTAAACACTGTAAGCATATAAAATGAAGAATTTAATAAATTTAAGCTTTATTTTAAATAAGACCCGTAAATCTAGTTTGTTAAATTATACCCATAGTTATTTATTATACAGGTATATTATGAGTACTTACTAACTAAGGTAGTAAGTTTTAATCATTAATAAAATATCTTATTATTATTTCAAATAAACTTCCTAATACTACTTTGAGATAAGGTTTTAATGTAAAAATTGTACATGTATTCCAAAAAATGGTAAATTTTGATCCTTAATCATTTTTATTACCATGTTATTAGTAAGAATTACTATTTATGTATAAAAACTTACTGTTATTTGAACTAAACTTACTCTTTTAAAAGTAAGTTTGGGATATAAAGTAGTAATCTATTTATTTAAAAATTAAGTTTAATATTTATTCCAATTTACCTTTTGAGGTATAAAAGTTACTAATTTATTAGGCTTAACTTACTATTTTAGATAGGAAACTTACTTCCATAATTTTAGGTGTTATTCTATTTAGGTGAATAGGTCCAATAATAAATCAAATGATCGCTAAAAGTGCAACAACATGTTATATTAGGTAAAAACTATTTCGCTACCATAACTATCATTTAGTATAACTATATGTATTGCTGAGGGGGTTTTGGATAAGGAGCTTCCAAAATTGTCAAAAGTTTGAATGCTATTTTAATAGAATTTTACATTTTTATAATTAAAAAATGTTTATCTCTTAACTAATCATGTAACCGCTCCTACAAATTCTATAATCATGCTCATATTTTTCTCATATTTCCCTAACGTTTTTTCCACTACCCCATAAAATTCAAACTCCTAAACTTTAACTAACAGATAATAACCACCCCTGTAAAATGATATCTACAAATTTCAATTCACATCTCACATTTATTACTGACACTTATTATATCACTGATAGTAATAACTAATCGTTAATTTAAGAAATTCACAACTACAAAAGTCAAATATCCAAAATTTAGTAGCCTGTTTAAATTACAATTTCCACAATTCAACGTATCTTATTGTCATAATATATTTTACTCTCACAATCATTCACAAATTATAAAGGGATTAAAAAATAAATAATTTTTTAATAAAAAATTAATTCAAAGGTAGTTAATTCACACACACACGCATACATATATACATATATATATATATATATATATATTCTCATAATATAAACTAAAATTATAAAAAAAATTAGGAGGGCTAACTTTTTTTTACACAAATATTTACACAATATGAATTAAAATTTTTAAAACTTTGGGAAGAAGGGACCTATGGCCCCGATTAGTCCCTATTAGTTTGGGAGTGTTTGGATAGCAGATTTTTCCAAATAATATTTTGCTTACATTATAAACACATTTTTCAACCCACCTTTTTATCTCACATACATCATATAACAAAAAGTACTATCACAATTATTTCAAATAATATTTTAAATAACTCTCTATCCAAACAAATTTCAATAGCGTCTTAGTTCCAAACCTGTAAGATTACAAAAGAGAAAATAACTGATCACAAATTGAATTTTACACTATGGTGATCCCACCCAAATGTAGTTATTTCACGCACACACGTACACATATATACTTATATATATTCTCATAATATAAACTAAAATTATAATAAATTTGGAGGACCTGTTTTATTTTACACAAATATTTATATAATATGAATTAAAATTTTTAAAACTTGGGGAGGAGGGCTATGACCTCCATTAGCCCCCATTGGTTCCATTATTGATTTCAATGGCATCTTAATTTCAAACCTACAAGATTACAAAGAAAAACAATAACTAATCACAAAGCGAATCTCACACCATAGTGATCCCAATGAAATATTTTAAAAAGATGCAACAAGTTCACTTCAAAAAAAAATACAAGTCTTGCTGAACTTTTTGTGTAGTACGAATTCTTCAAAATTCAATAGAATTAATTAAACCACCAATATTAATTTTCATACTAAAAGTTGATTGGTGTAAAAAATGTTCGCACCTTTGTACAAGATTATCAAATCGAATGCATAATGTTGGTAAGTATTTCATTTTAAAATCAAATAAAACATGCAATTATATTTATTTCTATCCATATATTATTCATTTTCTAATATAAATTATTATTATTATTTTAAGATCCATCTTCCGCAAAAACACAATTCTTGAATGATTTACAGTTTTTGTCATATTTTGAACTATTGTTAGACAAATCTTAAATTTTAATTATGTTGGTATCATTTTTTTAACTTTTTTCAAATTAAAATGGTATAATTTTTTAATTTATTTTAATAATGTAAGTACCATGCGTAGCACGGATATTCACACTAGTTGTCCTTGTATGACCGAGCCTGAGAGTTTGAGCATGTTTTGGTTGAATGTTACAATTCAAAATTTGGGGTTTGGAGGGAATAGGTTATATCCATTGTAATCAAAACTCAAACAAAAGTGGGGATAAGCCTGGTTGTCACAACGAACTATATAAAGTGGATTTTTTTATTTATTTGCACAATGCTACCTTATTTTTTCATGCATCAGAATGGATTGATTACAAGTTGCATTTGCTTGCCTTTTTCTAGAATTTTGGCTAATTAACAAATTATACTAATTGTAGAATAGTAAGTTTGTAATCATTTTCAATTTTTAAAAAATTTGAAAGTTTGGATAACAATAACAACAAATCTTCCTAGTTACATGTAGAATATCACTTGTTTCTATATCACAATTTTTATAACTTAAAACCTATGAATATAATAAGATAAAATTATTATTTTATAATAAAATAAAATATTATTATTTTCTAAGGTTATGTGAAAGATCAAAATATTTTAAAATATATAAGTACAAAAGAATATTAAATTATACATATAATCATGCATTATACAAGTATGTTACGAGTACTTACTAACTAATGTACTAAATTTTAATCATTTATAGAATATTTTTATTGTTATTTCAAATAAGCTTCCTAGTATTCATTTGGTATAAGCCATAAAGGATTGAGTAATTTGAGTCAGTTGCTTCTGTGTTAATTTTGACTGTAGTTAACAAACTCAATGATTTAGTCCATCTAACTTAGGTTAATGGGAAAATGGGTCACAGTTGGCTGGAATAAAATTGTAATAAACCCGTTTCTCAATAAAAAAAAATAAACTGTTTATGACTTTTCCCTATTATAAAAACAAAGTACCCATTTTTTTTAAAAAAATTATTTATCAGATGAAATAAAAATAAACCCATTTTTCAATAAAATCCTAACTCTTTATGCCTTTCCTCTATTATAAGAACCGTGTACCCATTTTGCCATAAACAAATTTATTTATCGGATAAAAAAAATTTTATTTATCGAAAAAATAAAAATGAACCCGTTTCTCAATAAAACATCAGCTCTTTATGACTTTCCTCCCTTATAAGAAAAGAGTATCCATTTTGCCATAAACAAATTTGTTTATCGAATAAAATAAAAATAAACTTTTTTTCAATAAAAAATCAGTTGTTTATGACTTTCCTCCATTATAAGAATATAGTACCCATTTTTCTAAAAAAAATATTATTTATCGAATAAAATAAAAATGAACCTGTTTTTCAATAAAACACAAGCTCTTTATAGTTTTTATCTATTATAAGAACAGAGTACCCATTTTTTCATAAATAAATTTATTTATCGGATGAAAAAATAAATATATTATTCAATAAAACACCAGTTTTTTATGGTTTTCCTCCCTTCACTACAACAAAAAAGGGTATTAGCAACAACAACTTTAGCAAGAAGTAGAAAGCTTGACGCTCTTCAGAGGCTTATAGCAAGGAAAAGGACAATACCTCACCAAAAATTGGAGCCATCATATACTCTGTGAGGGCAAGGACTTTTCTCGCTTAAAATTCTCGCCAAAAGGAGAGCGGGAAAGCTTCCCTCCAAATACTGATTCTAGTGGGCCAAAGTTTCTATGTTATTGGTGAGAAATCATGGGTGTTTTTTTGTGAAAATTTCAAAATTTTGCTCCCTTCCAATTTTTAGCAGAGCCGCGCATTGAAAATTTTTTAACCATTCCCAGCACAGCACTTGTCAAGCCTAGCACCACATGAATTCCAAGCCTTCCATACTTGCAAGGCTACTTTCCCAAATATTGTTCTCAGATCAGAGCGCTCGAAAGTTCAATCGTAACCTCCCCTGCACCTTTCTCCTTCTATCTCCCTTTCCCTCTCTATCAAATTTCAGTTTCCCATAGACATATGGTTCCCCTCTTCCTCTCTAGCATCCAGATCTGAATTTATACAATCATGGACACACTTTAAAGACCCTTCCGATGTAATGGCAGACTTCAAGGAAAAGCGATGGTGTAGGTTTTTTAATATGTTATTTTCATCTCTGTTTTGTCAATTGTCTTTTTCTTGCATTTTTGGTCAATTTAACAATCGCAAGAAAAACTCTATTTGACAATGTATTGGTATCTCTTCAGGTGAAATCTGGAACTCTATTTGACAATGTATTGGTATCTGATGATCCTGAATATGCTAAGAAGTTGGCTGAAGAGACATGGGGCAAGCATAAGGATGTATGTGGAATTTTTTTTCCCCAAGCGATGCACAAAAAATAAAAAAATAAAAAGGTTTAAATTACTTTCGTCTGCTTGTTGACACATGAAAATGTTCATGTTGTAGGCTGAAAAAGCTGCTTTTGATGAGGCAGAAAAGAAGAGAGAGGAGGAGGTACTTTTCATTAATTCTCCTCTATTGCATGATGTCTTGAGTACATTTGAATTCCATTTCTGTATAGTTTGGACTTTGGACTTCCTTTATACTGCATTATTTGAACAGTGATCACTTGATTATGAAGAGACAACTTATATCTCAAACTCCTGTCTGATTTTGTTTCAGGAAGCAAAGGATGACCCAGTCGATTCTTATATAACTTCCTGACTAAATGTTGTTCTCAAAAGAGACTATTTTTGCTCTAGATTTTATCTGTGATATGTTCTTATTACGTGCACTTTCTTAATGGGAAAAACTTGTTCTTTTAGGCTGAGGAAGGCGATGATGATGATGCTGCTGATGAAGCAGATAGTGATGATGCAGACGTCAAATCAGAAACAAAGGAAGATGTTACTGCCGCAGCTGATGAAAATGTTAAAGTAAGGGCTTGTCTGATCCTTCAGTGCTGAGTTAACCATGATGATTTGTTATCAGAAATTTCAATTGTTTTAACTCTCTTACTTCCACCCTTTTGCAGGACGAGCTGTAGGAAAGTACGTGCGAGTACTGTGGTTGGCCCAACATGCTGCTGCGAAGAAGAGCTTTGTTGGCAATTGAGCTCTCGACATTTTTCATTTTTCTTTTGGCTTTTAGCTGTAGAATTGCTGTTTAGGGAAAAAAGATATTGGCTTTTGGCTTTTGGCTTTGAGTATCTTTGTGCTTTGTACTGTTGAAAAATGGTTGAAAAAAAAAGTAGCAACTACAGTCACAAAGCTGCTATTGGCAACTTTCTTGCAAGAAAATCATTTAGTTGCATTTGATCGTCTTTGGTAAGGGGTCGATGGTTTCTAATTAAAGAAGTTACTTGTTTATGACAAAATGGGCACTCTTTTCTTATAATGGAGAAAAGTCATAAAGAGTTGGTGTTTTATTGAAAAATGAGTTTATTTTTATTTTATCCGATAAACAAATTCCTTTTTACTTTCAAAATGGGTACTCTGTTCTTATAATGGAGGAAAATCATAAAGACCTAGTGTTTTATTGAAAAAATGGGTTTATTTTTATTTTATCTGATAAATAAATTTGTTTATGGAAAAATGGGTGCTCTGTTCTTAAAATGGAGGAAAGTCATAAAGAGCCAATCTTTTATTGAAAAATAGGTTTATTTTTATTTTATCCGATAAATAAATTTATTTATGGAAAAATGGGTACTCTGTTCTTATAATGGAGGAAAGTCATAAAGAGCTGGTCTTTTATTAAAAAATAGATTTATTTTTATTTTATCTGATAAATAAATTTATTTATGAGAAAATGGGTACTCTTGACAGGTGTCGAACCTGTACAATAATAAATACCTACTCGAGAAAAATACAGATTTTGTATATAGCGGTGAGTAGGGTCGAATCCACAGGGATTGGGGATAATTCGTTTCTTCTAGAATCCAAAGTGTGGGGGGTTCTTGGATTAAATGCTAACTAAAGAAATTAAATGCAGAGAATAATTAATTGAAAGAAATACTTAGAGAAACTCTAGCCAAGGATACACTTCAAAAATGGTTCACGCACTGATCATTGATTCAAAGATAATTCCAACATTTATTACTAGAGTGGTTATAGTTGTCATACACGCGATAAACAACCAACCTTTCCTTACTTTCTCGATAGTTAAGGTACGACCGTTAACTATTTCTCTAACCCAAAAACAATCCTAGGTACGACCGTAGAATTTAATTTCTAGATTGCATTAAAAATTAGAAAAGCTCAATCCTAACTAACAAACACGCTAAGAGTGTTTGTTTAAATTAGATCGTATGTTTCCCTGACATAAACCCAATTACGCCAGTTGCTACTGGGATAGAGGTAACGAACAATTACGGATTCAATTACCCCTATTTAGCAAAATAGCCTATATGAATAATTAATTATTGCGCACTAATCAATCATACACAAGAGCTATAACAATTAAAAACAGGAATCATATAAATACCAATAAATGAGAAAGCGATTAAAATAAATTCGATCTCACAGTAATTGCAGAACCAAATCTTCAGTTGTCCCTTGACTAGAATTAGAAGGTTAGTTCTCCATTAATGGAGAACAACCATGCGAAAAAGCTATCTGAATCTTACCAAATTGTTCCTGGCCAAATCGGCCAAGGAAGAAAAGTAAAAGTCGGCTACGGAGGAAAAGTCCCCGACCTCCGTACCTTCCCCCTAGCTTTTCCAAGTAAAAACATATTTAAAGACAAGCCTCCCCAAGTCTCCTAATCCTCTACGTTTTTAGCCACTCAAAGGGATGAAGGAAATCCATTTCCTTTTAGGCCAGGCCCACCGAGAGAACAAACAGATTCCCATCCTGATTTCTCTCCTTCAAAGTTGGTACCCAAGTACCAATTTTCCTAAACAATAGGAATCCTATTATAGATAGTTTTCTTCAGCTTTTGAAATGGCCCCACTGCTTTTCAGCATTGTAGTCCGCTACTTTATTTAGTTTTGGAAGCTTTCACGTGTGCAAATCATCCCGAAAATCCGTCCTTGAAAGCTGGAGTTAGGCGTGGGCACGCCAAACTATCAGGGAATCTGCTGGAATGACGATTTTCAGTACTTTTTCTTCACCACTTCCTGCAATTAATCCCAAATACCAAATATTAGTAGAATAATCAATTAAGATAATATTTGGCTAAAATCAAAGGGAAAAATAATTATAAATTTAGCACAAATTATGACTTATCAATTTCCCCCACACCTAAACCATGCTTGTCCTCAAGCATGAGAACATAAATCAAGTAATCAAATTCAAACAATGGCTATTGCTCAAATCTTTTATTGCCACGATATAATTAAAACTTATGTCAAGTATTAGTGGCACTTTTCAAGAAATATCTCTCCAGTTAGTTTTGAAGATTAAGGACTCTTTCAATTTATGACTAACTAATCTAAGAATATAAAATATTCAACCCGCATCCAAAAGCAAATGGTTCAACTATTAAGCAAAATCTCAACAATAAAATTCATGGGTCAGCGGGCTAGCAATTCATTCATATTTTTCACTATTAGCACTTTTTTTTTTTTTAATATCTCCACTTGATTTTTTTTTTTCTCGGGGGAATGCTTAGTTTTCAGCCATTCAAGCATTTTGACGCGAACTCCGACATTGGCCACATGAAGGAGCCCGGTTACTCAGCCATCATCGCTTAAAAACCACATACTCATAGTTATCGTTGCTTTTTGACGCGAAAGTCGACACTTGTGGTGAAGACCTCCGGTTACTAGACAACGATACTAGCGGAGTATAGCTGAATACTATTCATAAATAAGCACCAAAAATAAAATTAAATACCACACAAACCCGCTTCATTTCTTAAACATGGAGAACTAAGATTAATAGCTGAACCAATTTGCACAAAAAAAATGCTAGACAAATATTTACAATACTTAGAAAAGTTAACCAAAAAGTGCAAAAGTCACAAAATTTCAAATATTCACCCAAAAGATACCCTTAAAATCAACCATGTCATACTCAACACCTTAAAGTGTAAAATCTTAGCAATAGAAAAATTTGAGACATCTAACCATCGTTTATCAGGACTAATCACAAATAAGCACAAAGATAGGCAAAAATTGGACAAAATTCGACAAAGTCAAACAAAAAATTCCAACAAAAATGCCTACACTTGCACTTTTTCAATAAAATACCAATATACTACCCCCCCACACCTAAATCTTGCATTGCCCTCAATGTAAGCAAAGAAAGAGCAAAACAGAGATATTGGGGCAACGACACTTCCCTTAAAACTGAGGAGGGCAGAACTGAACTACGGCTAGAGAGGGAAAGGCGGGCGGAAACCCACGTGATGGAGATACTGTGTTAAATTCTGGGCCATCCCGCCCATTTGACGCTCCATCCGCTCCATACGAGTGTCCATGTGCTGCATCTGGAGCCGAAGGACTGCAAGCTGGCTATCGGCGGAGGAAGACGGTGGAGGTGCCGCAGAGGACAGTCCGGGGTCCTCTCGGTCAAATTGAGGGGGCAGATCCACTCGAGGGGACTGTGGGCAGTGGGGTAGAGGTGGAAGGTTTGCTCTTGCCTTTGTTCTTGGGTTTGGTCATTGGATATCAGTGGACAAGACAAAGGCAAAGTAATGGTGTTCAAAATATGTCAACAAACAACCAACAAGGCAAATGACCCCCAGTCACAGCTCCCAATCACAAACAAGTGCAGAAACGGATAATAAACTCACCCCAAAAACTAATTAAACCTGTGAACGACAAGATTTTTGCCAAATACTACCAATTCAACCCAAAAATCAATTAATTAGATAAACATAGCAAAATTCCCCCCAAAACTAATTAAACAGGCAACTAGGGTAAAAACTTTCCCCAAATATCACTGGTTGGGCACAACGTTAACCAAATAATCAACAATCAATCCACATATATGACACAGCACCCAAACAAGCACAAATTTTCTGTCCTCAGCTAGCAAATAAAAAATCTGGCCTCAGCTAAGAAAGTAAAATTCTGGCATCAGCTAGTAAAGAACTAGTAATCTGGCCTCAGCTACTTATTGACAGAAAATTAAAGAATGAAATCACCAGAGGTGTTTGGGCAAGCAGAGGGGGTGGCGAAAGAGCGGAGGCAGCAACGGAAGAGGATGAAGGCACCGCGCGTGCGTTTCACGCGCTTGGACAGGCGCGCTGTGGCTTCGCTGCGAATGAAAGAGACTGGAACGCGCGCTGGAGGTGCTGCGCAGCGGAGGTCGTGCGCCTGCTGGTGGTTCTGAGCTCCGCCTGGTGCTGGTCAAACGACTCGCGAGCGCGATGGACACGCGAGGCTGGATCAGGCGCGCAGCGAGTGCACAGCTACTTTGGGCGTGGTGGCGGACTACTGGGCTGAGTCGCGCGCGATGGGGGCGAGCTGCTCCTGCTGGGACTGCGCAGGTCGCACCTGGTCGTCGCTGGTTCAAAGCGCGCAAGGCCCGCGCGCTGGGCTCGCGCTGTCTGCTGTTGTGCAGATGCCCGCTGGTGTGGAGGTGTCGCGCGCTATGCTGCACGACTGGTTCAGCTGGAGGGCCGCCGCTGCTGGTGCTGCTGCGGGATCACCTGGCATTGGCGGACGGCGCGCGGCGACAACAGGAAGGCAAAGGAAGAAGAGGAAAAAGGAGTTGGCAGCGGCGGACGGAGGAGCTATGGTGGTGGTGGGCGTGTGAGTGAGGTGAGGTGCTGCGGCAGACAAAGAGAAAAGAAGGAAGAAGAAGAAAGAAAAAGAAAAGAAATAAGAAGAAAAAGAGTAGGCTCCGGGTCCTTTGGAAAATTTTTTTTTTTTTTGGGTAAACAAAGAACCCCAGTCTTAGGCCTGGGCACGCCTAACTGCCCCTAGTATTTTGAACATCCGTCGAAAATTTTTGATCCTTTAGCTTGACCACCTAGCGTGGGCACGCCTAACTGCTACAGAGTCTTCTGACCGTTGCCTTCCAACTCTTTTCCGCATACGTGACCACTTAGCGTGGTCACGTCTAATTGCCAATTTCCTGCCACCAAGCAACAAATCACTAAACGCAACTAACACTTAACAAAAACTCCAAAAACATAAGAAAATTAAAACGAAAGCCTTGGGTTGCCTCCCAAGCAGCGTCTTTCTTTAATGTCTTTGGCTAGACATTGTCCTGTTTATTCATGGAGGATA